CTTTCAACTGCAAATCCCTAACTCTAAGAAGAAGTCTGAACAAAGCCAACATATTTAAAGTTTCAAATCAGGAGAAAGGATATTGACCTTTGGTGAAGAACTATTTTGTACAAAATAGTTTCATGAAGATTCAATTACTTGAATCTCCAGGTGGAGTGTAAAAGACCCCTATTTGAAGACTTTCAAAACCACTGACAGTCAAGACCTAATCTACAATAACTGGGACTAGAAATGGAAAGCAACACTTGGTACATTTTGAGTGTACCAAGTATATTATAAAACAAGGAAGAGATAGATATAAAATGACAAAAACAACACATGCCTTTTTTTCTCAGTGTAAGAATTTGAACTTCTATTGTGGCTCCTAATTTTCTGTCCAACATATACTGATCTTTAAAAGTAAATGGCTCCTTCTTTAAATTAGGGGATGAAACACTATCATCAGCATGTACTGTCATTTCAAACAAGCTCCCAAGAACATTTTTTTTATTTTTTACTTTGTTGTATGTGAAGATTATTCTTGAGGTAATAAAACAAGAAAATAAATTAGTTCTATGCTACCAAGTGCTTCCTGTTCCACTCCCAATACTTCCCAAAACATTTTGCTTTAAAATAGAACAGAATAGATAAAATCCTGTGCAGTGTTTGATAATATCACCCATGAACCATAATTTCCATAACACAAATACACAACTTGAAGTTCTTTCAGGAACACCATTTTCCTCCTGAAAATGTGACAAGTGGAACTTCTTTTCAAGTACCCAAGTCTCCAATAATAATTCTAAATTTGTCTATTACTTGCATTTAGCTTAAACATAGAATAAGCTACACTGGGTAAGCTACATATTATTCTCTTGGAAAAAAAACACTTGCTATTGAGAGGAGCGGCATGTAAAACCTTGTAATAAAATCGATAAACTAGATAAATAAGAACATTAATCATGTTTCTCTTGTCAAAAAGTGAAAAGGTTTTTAGCTTTTACCTAGAGACTGGACAGATGTTTGTCTGAAATGGTATGGGGCACAGGTCGGCAACCTGCGGCTCCAGAGCCTCATGCGGCTCTTTGAGCCTTCCCCGGTGGCTCCCAGCCTCCTCTGCCTTTGCAGAGAGAGACAGAGACAGAGAGAGGCAATTGCGCTTCCCTGCTTCCTTCTCTCTCTCTCTCTCTCTCTCTCTCTCTCTCTCTCTCTCTCTCTCTCTCTCTGTGTGTGTGTGTGTGTGTGTGTGTGTGTAAAAGATTGCACTCACAGTGTTCTCCGAAGAGCTGACAAGCTTTCTGGACGGAGCTCCTCCCTTTGCTGCGTCTCTGCAGGAAGCAGGAAGCAGGAAGGGCAGGAGAGAGCTAGCTAGCCCAGCTAGGCTGACTCAGGAATTCTGGGAGTTGAAGTCCATGAGTCATAAAAGAGACGAGGTTGCTTACCCTGAGCTTGTTGGACAACAGCTTGAAGCTTGCCAGGTGAGCAGCAGATAGGAGAGAGAGAAAGAGAGAGAGAGAGAGGGAGGGAGGGAGGGAGAGAGAGAGAGAGAGAGGAAAGAGAGAGAGAGAAAGAAAGAGAGTGGGGGAAGAGGAGTGGCAGGCAGACCAAGGGCAGATAGAGAGGGAGGGAGAGAGAGAGACAGAGACAGAGAGAGAGAGAGACCCTTTTGACATCTAAAATGAAGATAACACTGCATATATCCTTTTTTTACCTGTATGTGTATGTGTATGTATGTGTATATATATGTGTGTGTGTGTGTGTATACATACATATACACACACACATACACACACACAAACACACACACACAAACACACACACACCTATAATAAAGGTAAAAAAGGATATATGCAGTGTTATCTTCATTTTAGATATCAAAAGGATTTTGCGGCTCCCCGTGTTTTGTTTTTGGTGGGAAATGGGTCCAAGTGGCTCCTTGAGTGTTTTGGGTTGCCTACCCCTGGTACAGGGTTTCCTGCCTCAGCAAGGGGTTGGACTAGAAGACCTTCAAGGTCCCTTCCAACTCTTATTCTCTTATTCAATTAAAGTGACTGAAATCTCCTTGGGACTTGCAGACCTCATCATAAGTCAAAGGAGGGGACATAACTTGGCCCAAGGGAGGAAGGAATGAAAATCCAAGTTCTATTTTCATATAATACATTTATATCATATCACATATATATCTTGCCCTGGATTTCTCAATTAATCTAACCACACAGCCCATTAAATCATAAACTCACATAAGCTAAGAAAGGATTACATGAAAAAATAAACTAAATGTGGTTGACTAAATAATTATTCATTGTGTTATAAAAATTCTATTTCCTCTGAAAAATTTCAACTTTTGTTTTTCCTCAATAAAAATACTTTTTAAAAAACCATGGTTATGTTTACAAATTAAAGCTGTTTGCATATTGTGGCAAATATTTCAAGCCATCAAAAATAATGGTCAAAGATTTATATCTAGATTTAATTTACTTGGTTTATAATTATTGTTTTTATATTGTTATTTGATTGTTTTTGTGAAATGAGCAGAGCAGGTATACAAATTTGATAAAACAATAAATTTGAGTGTGTATATATCTCTTCCCCTGTCTCTTCTCTTCCCTCCCTCACACAGCTGACAAAGTGAGAAAGAGCCTATGGCCTAGAGGTCAACACAGCTGCTTAACATGCAAGCAGCCCAGGTTCGAATCTCAGAAGGGTATGCCTGGCTGATGAGAGCTAATTAGCTCGAAATAGCTATTCCAGTCTCCCTTAATTCTTTGTTAGCAATCCAAAAAAAATTAAAATATAAATGATGTCATAGTAGCGACTACTGCCTGTGGATGGCTCTAGATTGAGCTGATACAGGAAAAAGATTTCTTTCTCCCATATTTGGGTCAGCAGGGTGCATCAAAAAACACTCAAGGTAATTCTCTTCCCCTGTCTCTTCTCTTCCCTCCCTCACACAGCCGACAAAGTGAGAAAGAGCCTGTGGCCTAGAGGTCAACACAGCTGCCTAACGTGCAAGCAGCCCAGGTTCGAATCTCAGAAGGGTATGTCTGGCTGATGAGAGCTAATTATGTATGTATGTAGGTAGGTAGGTACGTAGGTACGTACGTACGTATAAACCTATGTCACATTTGTAATTTTTTTTCTTTAGAAGCTCTGGCAAAGTACAAACATTTATATTTAGAATCTTTCTATTTAGTCAGAAACAGTATATAAGAGAACATTATACATGCCTCTTCTTGTAATTTTCTTCCAATACAGATCAAAGAACCTAAAACCTGAATTAGAAGCTGTCTATTTTTGCCTGTTTTTAAACTTACTTTATGAGATGATTGCTAACTTTATCCATGACTCTAAGCCATTTCCAGAAACATCAAATTATAGAGAATCCTATTTTTGATAGTTTATGAAACACCAAGTGTTATTCACGTTTCTCAGACAACAAAAAACAAATCCACCTAAGCTACAGATTATCAGTAAATCTTAATAACTTTTGAATAGATCAATTAACCCAACAATAAATCTATGCAATTTCTACTACCAGGTATTTGTGAAATCATGTATTATCATTTTTATTTTCCTTCCTTTCTTCATGACCATATCAGGCAAGGCAGCCTGTAAATAAATTCACAGAAAGACAGTATAGTGTAGTGATTACTAGTTGGACTAGAATTCAGGAAACTGAAGTTCAAGTCCACTTCCGTCACTGAAATGCACTGAGTAACTTTGGGACAGTCACACTCTCAGTGCAATCTACTTCACAGGATTATTTTTATGGAATAAAGTGAAACTTGATAGCTCCATGTAAATGGTCTTCAACTCCCGGACAATAGATAGAGGATATAAATCTAACAAATTAAGAAATAAATGCCAGGCCACAAAAGGTGACTGTTAAAATACAGGCAATGAATTCAAGGCTGGATTATTTGCCTTCCCATCATTAGCAGCTTGTAGGTGGAGAATAGGTATTCAACACTCCCTAAATTCTGTCAAATAACTCATCTGCCTGCATAGTATTCCTCAATATTTATGGAACTAGACACTTCCTTCTTTTTCTGCCATCCAATTCAGTGGATTCATGGACCACAATTTTCTTGCATGGAACTGACTTGATATAATACCATCTCTTGCCCACTAACCAATTCACTGACCTATGAGATATTGCCATATTCTCACCCAAAAACAGCCCCAGAATGTTTGTAAATTGAATACATAACTAAAAGAGAAAAAAAGAAAACCACCTAAAGTGATAGTTGTTAGGCAATCATCATTCAAAATTCTCTAACGCCAATGTTACATTTTAGGCTTTCAGCCTTGCAATACCTACTTGGTAGTGTTTTATATGAACATCTCTGCTACAGTCAACCCTCTGAATAGCATATCATGAATTAACGTATCATACAGAATTGCTTACTTTAATTTAAAAAAAAAAGATAAAGGTTTCCCCTGTCTAGTTGTGTCCAATTCTAGGGGGCAGTGTTTATCCCCATTTCCTAGCCAATGGAGCCAGCATTGTCCGAAGACACTTCCGTGATCATATGGCCAGCATGACAATAGCCAAGATCCATGGAACGTTACTTTCCAACCAAAGTAGTGCCTATTTATCTACTCACAGTTTCATGCTTTCAAACTGCTAGGTTGGCAGGAGCTGAAGCAAGAATGGGAGCTGACCTCATCATAGAGTGCCTGAGTCTCAAACTGCTACCCTTCCAGTCAAAAGTCCAGCATCTTAACTGCTAGGAAAGAGATAGTAAACTGATATAGAGCTAACAGAGAGCTGAAAGATCTTGAAAATGAGATATACACATAGACCTATATTATACAGATGAGTCTGTGGCATCCAAATTAAAAGCACTGAGAAGCAGTAACTGTTAAGTAGTGAACACTACCTCAAATTCCAAAAGCTAACGCATGAATGCTAATGTTCCCTTAGGTATGACTCCTGAACATGAATGCCTGTTCTCAGACAAAACAAAGAGGAAATGGCTCATGCTTCTGAATGGCCAGGAGAAATGGTTCATACTCACAGTAACTCTCCGTGATAAATATTTCCAAGATTGAAATCTGGCACCGAATCAAATTCCAGGGAAGAAATTTTGGTTCAGATTAAGTCCTGTGGATAGATAGGAAAAAGAAAGAAAGAAAAAAGAGACTTGGCTACCTGGTTCTGGATACTGTCTGCTTCACCAAATCATTTTCTCAGAGGTTCAGAACATTTTATATTACATGAATTCTAAACAATATAGGTACAATTTTTGTAAAAAAAAAAGAAAAATACTCAGTGAATAAGACACAATTTTGAAGCCAATTCTATGGCACTGATGTCAGTAGGGGAAGTTTTCAAGCAAATTAGTTAAAATCTAAATCATACAAAAGTATAAAGTTATACACTTGATATCAGACAATGACAGTCTCGCCAAAACAAGAACAGTTTGGTTTGGCTAGGCAAGCTGATTCACCCATTTATTATTGCACAGGACAAGCAAATTAAAAATTAATCAAAGGTCCACACCCAGATCTACTCAATTTCAAAGCGTCTCATTTTTAATTATCATTTTGTCTCATTTTTTAAATTAATCTCAATTTGCTAATGAAGCAACTCACTGCGATTTTGTCAAATTAATAGCTCTATTCCTCATAAATAAAACTGAAATAAAAGCCTACTACAGCAAGCTAGCAAAGAACATAATGAGAGGATGGGCATTCAAATGGCAAACACAGATCAACATAAGGAAATCTGAAGTCTGGATTGCACATTGCAATTTATTTTGCTCCAGCCATTTGTATATATATTCTAATGTGATCTAAGCAAAAGCACATTGACCAGGATCCAAATCCTCAAGTTTTAGGAATGACTCAATGAAAATTTGAAAAAAAGGAAGAGGGTATAGAGAGATACTTCCAATGAAAAAGGGAAATTTGACGTCAGGAATGATTAAAAAATGACTCCAAGATAAAACTAATGATGATACAAAACTTTGATGCATAGACTGCACAACACTCTGTTTACTGCTTGTTTATTTTACTTTCTGAAGTCAGTCCATGAGAATACCATCAAAAATTCTGTTGTGAACACAGTTTTGTAATTGCAAATACATTGGAATATACATTTTCCAACAAACTGAATGGAAATAATGGAAGGAGAGATGAAAGAATCTTCAGCACAACTCTACCTAACAGAATGCCTTGGAATTTTCTGCCACAAATATTAACAATGCCTATAAAATTGCATTGCTTTCAAAAGGGATTAAGTTAATTAACTGAAGATAAGGATCAGTAAGTACTAGTCATGATGGCTGTATGTAATGTCATCTACCAAAATAAGTATACCTTAGAATTTCTTAAGAGTTGTATAACTTAGAACAACATTTAGAAGAAGTGAAATGCAGCCCCTACTCTCTTATTCTTAAACCAGCCCAATATTTAGATTTATGTGTGAACTTTTTAAAAAAAAACTGCAACTGCTCTAAGAGTCCCATTAATGAATTGTCTCCTTAAAGCAGTTGCACCTTTTTTCCAGTTTTTTTTGAATCCCGAAATAAGACAGCCATTCCAATAAACCACAGAGAACTGTTACGTTCACTGTAGATCTGAGTACTTGTTTTCATTCATTTTTAAATCATGCAGAGTTCTGCTGCAGATTAATTATGTGGCATTCATATGGTTAAGAAGATAAATGAGGGCTGGGGAGTCTGGTTCAGGTACACCCTTAGTCTAAAATCTCACTGAGGAATCTGTTCTTTCATCCTTGCCTATCTCATAAGATCCCTAGGAGAATGACAACAGATGGGATGGGATATCTATGCCAACTTAGCCTCTCAGAAAAAGGCAGTCTATGTATACAATAATTAAATCTGAGTGGAGAAGTATTATTATGCTCCAGACTTGCCTGTGATTTTTCTTGGCATTCAGTTGGCTGGATTACAGATGTGTGTATATGCACTCGTATACGCACACACAGAGACAACAATTTTAAATGTTGTCCCCTGTGGATTTTTTATTTGATTATGTCATGAAAACTGAATGATAAATTAAAAGTTGCCAGTGTAAAACGAATCAGAGTAAAAGAACAAATATATAGGTATTCCTCATTTAACAACAACTCCATCATAAGCAATGTGGTTAAGTAAAACATCACATTGTCATCCCAGGTTACAACCTCACTTCCCACGGTCATTAAGAGAATCACCCATGATTATTAAGTGAGACATCACATGAACATGACTTGTGATTTTATTGCCAGATTTTCTATTGACCAAAACTAGCCGTGAAGTACACAAAGGGGCATCATGACCTCAAAACATTACGACGGTCCTGAACACCCATCTACTGCAAGGCATCTAAATCTCAATCCTGTGAACAAGAAGCTAATGGTCATAAATTCAAGGACTGATCATAAGGTCATGTTTTACTACTGTCGTAACTTTGAAGCATCACTAAGCAAAGCAGTCATCAAATAGAAATAGCACTTAGCATTAGCACTTAGACTTATATACCGCTTCATAGTGTTTTATAGCATTCTCTAAGTGGTTTACAGAGTCAGCATATTACCCCCAATAATAATGGAACTCCTGGCAATAAGTTGAATTAGCCTGCAATATTGCATTCTAAACACTGCGCCATCAGGCTCCAAATCTATTCTGTCTCAAGAATATTCTCTCGTCTATTCATTTTTTTTAAAAAAAAGTGGTAGCACCAGTATAGTTTGAGATAAAAAGGAGAGAGGAGACTCCAAATAAACTGTCTCTTTTTTTCCTCATTCAGTCTGATCCTCCAGTCTAAATAACCTTTTCTTATGTTTTTATTAACTGTTCTTAACTATGTAAGGAAGAAAATCAGGTGCAGATGCTGTTTCACCCATTTCACCTCACACCTCTGCCTTAAACTGTGAGGGCTGCTATGGCTTACAATCCATTTAGATTAGGGTACATTCTCCTAATATTGTTGAACCACAGTTGACAGCTTCCCACAATACTGACCATGCCAACTGAGAGTAATGAAACTTTCAATTGAGCAATACCATGGGAGGCACAAATTGTGCTGTAAACCACATAACTCAGTTTCAAAACTCATGCAAAGTAAATGCCTTGTAATGTTTAGACACTGATTTCCAGAACTCCTATCTTTTAGATTCAGTGGGAAATAATGAATTTCCATATATAGTTACAAAAATCAGCTCTTGTGGAATTAATGTGTTATCAGTGAATCAGCTGTTATCTAATATAGCAAGACTATTAATATCAGCATGTCTTTTTATGGATTTAGATATATACAGTAAGAATAACTACAGGCAAATTATTCATCTTGGAGAGATCACAAAGCAACAAAACTGCAGAGGAAAAGTGCTTTGTTACTCCTAAGGGGAAAAAAATTGGGATATTTCTGCCAGATACATTTGAAGATGAGATTCCAGGTCCAGATGCCACCTACAGAAACCTAGGAAGAAACCCTCAGATCCTTTCAAAATATAGTCATCAAACTGCAAACTGTAATATGACAAATGATTTAATTAGTTACAGACATGAAGAATCAACTAAATTTAATATAACTATAATTAAATTTAACTAGCCTATTTTGAGAAATGGGTGCCCCAGTATGTCATTAGAAAGAAAAGTGATGTCTAACCTTAAAAACAAAGAAAAAAAGTATGCACCCCACTATAGACAGATGATCCTAGCTATGCGCACATGAAGAAATGTAGCTTCTCAAGACTTTAATAAGATGTGGTCTGTTCTCCCTGATTATAAACTCAAACAGTTGGTATGTACTCTGTCCTATTCTGCTGCAGTTGTCTGTTGCTGGGAATACTTCTTGAAAACCAGCAACATCGTCCACACCTTCCACAGAGAACAGCATCTGGCAACTACTAGAGAGCTGTCAATATGGAAAAGTAGCTTTAAAACTTTTCTTTTTAGAATTTATAAATGAACATGTCACCAAATCGTTAAAATAAAGAAGTGTCTCAACATATCCAACAATCAGAAAACAGAAAACCCATCATGTCAAGCTTTGGATTTCAAAAGCCTCAACTTTAGATATCTGAATTCTTCATATGAAAAATTAGGAAATTTAAGCAACAATTGTGTTCTTATCTGCCTATTACATTCTTGAAGTATTACTGTAAAGTAAACAAAAATCTCTATAGTATTTCCTTAGCAATTACATAAAGAAAAAAAATACACATTTTTCATTCATTCATTCATTCATTCATTCTTAGACACAACATACTACCCATAGAACCAGGATACACATTCCATTCTGGACTTAGAGCTGCACGTGGTCTTTGACTGCCAAGTAAGGCCCACATTCCAAACAATAGTAAGAAAAGAAACATACAAAACAAAATGTAATCAACATAATTAAATGTATTAAATCATATTTTAAAAATGATATGTTTAGAGATCAGTTTACTATTCTTCTCCTTCTTTCACATGCTGATTATATGCCATCTTGTTGGTGTAAAATTTTAGTGACCACATCAACAGATCTTCTCCGGGATGATATCTTATATTAAAAATTGCAATTTGGTAAGTACATGGGATGAAAGAAAAAAACCTTTTCCCCAAAATTTGTCTTTAAGAATAGCCCCTAATTCTTTTGGGCAGCCACATAAAAGTCCCTAGACCTAGACATTTTCTATATTTTTCATAACATCCACACACTCAGAGGTTTTGCCCATTTCTCACCAACCTCTCATTTTGTAAAATGGGACATGTTTCCTACACCTTCAACACTATCTCTGATTTCTAACATTTTTAACTTGTCTCTTACACAAATGAAAAAGAAGCTATTTTACAATTTGCAATTATTGCAATTTTAACTTTAATAACTTAGCAGGGACCAACCATCATGATGCTGACATGTCCTCTGTTCAAATTATAGGTTGCCTGTAGAACATTAACAACATGTAACTTTTAGAACTAACCTACCAGTTCTGTCCAGCCTTAAATCATTCTGTGTAATATACCAAATACTGTCATACTGCCTGCCAGGGACTCCCCTTACTAAGTATTTTCCAATTTGTAACTGCTGATTCGTGGTAAGACAACAATTATAAGCTGAGACGATCAAGACAACAATGTTCTACCCTCACATATTTTCTGAGCTCTATAG